AAAAGGCATTTAAGACACCCCGCAGCGGTGAGAAGTAGAGGCCCTTACACCTATGTTGAAAATCCACCCTTTTGGAGGCTGATTCTCAAAATGGGTAAGGGGCTGGTTTCGTTGCGAACCTGTGCCTCTGGGGGGGGGCTCAAGGGCTGGGTCACTGTACCCCCTTGAATTCCCGAGGCGCCGTGCTCCCTGGGATTCCCTTGAATTCTCGTACCCCCTTGAATTCCCGTGGCCCTCAAGATGGCATCAAAAGGCAATGAAGAAACCCTGCAGCGGTGAGAAGTAGAGGCCCTTACACCTATTTTGAAAATCCACCCTTTTGGAGGCTGATTCTCAAAATGGGTAAGGGGCTGGTTTCGTTGCGAACCTGTGCCTCTTGGGGAGCTCAAGGGCTGGGTCACTGTACCCCCTTGAATTCCCGAGGCGCCGTGCCCCCTGGGATTCCCTTGAATTCTCGTACCCCCTTGAATTCCCGAGGCCCTCAATATGGCATCAAAAGGCATTTAAGACACCCCGCAGCGGTGAGAAGTAGAGGCCCTTACACCTATTTTGAACATCCACCCTTTTGGAGGCTGATTCTCAAAATGGGTAAGGGGCTGGCTTCGTTGCGAACCTGTGCCTCTGGGGGGGGGCTCAAGGGCTGGGTCACTGTACCCCCTTGAATTCCCGAGGCGCCGTGCTCCCTGGGATTCCCTTGAATTCTCGTACCCCCTTGAATTCCCGAGGCCATCAAGATGGCATCAAAAGGCATTTAAGACACCCCGCAGCGGTGAGAAGTAGAGGCCCTTACACCTATTTTGAAAATCCACCCTTTTGGAGGCTGATTCTCAAAATGGGTAAGGGGCTGGTTTCGTTGCGAACCTGTGCCTCTGGGGTGGCTCAAGGGCTGGGTCACTGTACCCCCTTGAATTCCCGAGGCGCCGTGCCCCCTTGAATTCCCGAGGCGCCGTGCCCCCTGGGATTCCCTTGAATTCTCGTACCCCCTTGAATTCCCGAGGCCCTCAAGATGGCATCAAAAGGCATTTAAGACACCCCGCAGTGGTGAGAAGTAGAGGCCCTTACCTATTTTGAAAATCCACCCTTTTGGAGGCTGAATCTCAAAGTGGGTAAGGGGCTGGTTTCGTTGCGAACCTGTGCCTCTGGGGTGGCTCAAGGGCTGGGCCACTGTACCCCCTTGAATTCCCGAGGCGCCGTGCCCCCTTGAATTCCTGAGGCGCCGTGCTCCCTGGGATTCCCTTGAATTCCCGTACCCCCTTGAATTCCCGAGGCCCTCAAGATGGCATCAAGAGGCATTTAAGACACCCCGCAGTGGTGAGAAGTTGAGGCCCTTACCTATTTTGAAAATCCACCCTTTTGGAGGCTTAATCTCAAAGTGGGTAAGGGGCTGGTTTCGTTGCGAACCTGTGCCTCTGGGGTGGCTCAAGGGCTGGGTCACTGTACCCCCTTGAATTCCCGAGGCGCCGTGCCCCCTTGAATTCCTGAGGCGCCGTGCCCCCTGGAATTCCTCTGAGCTTCCGTACCCCCTTGAATTCCTGAGGCCCGAGGCGAGATCCGCACAAACGGAACCAACGCGTGGAGTCAGCGCGAGCGTGAATCCGCTTCCCCTCATGGGGTCTACGACGGTACCCATCGCACTGGACAGAGGCGCTAAAGCAAGCAACGAACATGTAGCGACATTCGGCCCGCAAAGGATAGCGAACGCAGGGGGCTCTCAGAGCATAAAGTTGGGCCAGGGCCAGGAGGCCCTCAAGACTGCCTCTAAGGCCTTTCAGATAACCCGCCGTTTCGTTTGAGACATCCTCGGGAAGTTTGGATCAGAGATGGCGCGTGCGAGGTGCTCCATCCACTCTCGCCTGAGACATCCTCGCAAATCTGACCTTCCAAATGTGGTGCCCTGAGGTGGGGTGGCCTTTTCCGCCTGAGGCATCCTTGCACCCATGAAGACTCATGAATTCATGAGAATTCACATGAACACTCATGAATTCATAGGTCTTCATGGGGCTTCATGTGCATTCATGGGTCTTCATGGTTCTTCATGGGTTTACTCTTGGCTTCATGGATCTTCATGTGAATTCTCATGATGCCGCATGGGCCGCATCTACAAAGCATGCGGCAATCATCATAAGTTCGATAGCACGTGCCAGCAAGGCAGAAAATCATGAGACTAACCTACTTTCGCCATGTTCGAACGGCCCCAGGCCCAGAGGCATCCGAGGCGTCAGGCAGCTCCAGAGAAGCCCAGGGATCCACGGAAGGCTTTAAAAAAACTTAGAGAGGCCCAGTGCGGCCAACTTGATACAATCTCTGTTGTTATCCATGTCCTCCTCGGCTCAAGTTCTCCCTCCCGCTCCACACGAGCATCTCCGAACCACTTGCAACATTGGTGTTGCCGCTAGCGCGCCCATTCGCGATGGGCAAACCGACGAAGACTGCCACCAGGACCGCACTCAGAAGGCCCGCCTCGTTCGGAGTGGCCAAGGCCACACTGAAGAGACCATTCTGGGCAGGCGCAGCGCGCCTCTCCGAAGAGAACCTGAAAAAACACGATGAATTTGTCACGACAGCGGCTGGAGGGGCCAAGACGATCGAAGAGGTGGGCGCGAAGTTCAATGCGCTGGACTCCAAGACGCAGATGTCCGTGTGGAAAATGTTCGAGAAATCAAGGCTCGCCGAGGGCCATGCCGAGGAGTACGCGAACTGCACCAAGGGCGCCGGCGCAATTGCCAAAAAGCAGAAGTTGTTGAAGAAATGGATCTTGGACAAGGGGCAGTGTGGCGGTCACTACTTGTCTTACATGCAGGAGATCAAAATCAGCAAGGCCAGGACGGTTGAGGAGCAGTGGCTCCCGCTGACTAAGGCACAGAGGCGCTGGGGAAATCAAGAATTGGTTGAGCGAGTCAAATCTGGTAGCGTCAGAGCTCGGCGCGATCCCAAGGACAGGCGATTCTGGGAGTTCCAGCTGGTGACCGATAAGAAGGCCGTGACTGCGACGCTCAACAAAAAGTTGAAAACGCAGACGGAATCGAACAAAGCCCTTGACAACAAGGCGTTCCTGAAGTTCCAGAAGGCAAATCCGTACGAACTGAACGAGGAGGACTTCGACATGGGCGCCGGAGAGGATGAAACCTCGGACGAAGACTCTGAGAAGCTCGATGTTGATCTGGCGAAGACGCTTGGCATCAAGGAGAAGGCTACGCCTGGGCAGAAGGCAGGTGCGGGGAAAGGCGCCGCCTCCAAGATGGAACAGATGTCAAATATCGAGGGGGTGGGCAAGGACGCTGTGAAGATGAGGCTCGTCACTTTCAAGGGCGCCCTGGAGAAGGACGAGTCGTTCTTGGACATGGTCAATCTCAGGTTCTTGCAGAAGAACCCAGGGAAATTCAAGACTGAGAGCTCCACGATTCGCCGTCTCTTGAAAAAGTTGGCCGAAGCCATCGTCGCCATCAAGGAGCACCGCACGTCCCAGACTATCAAGCAGGACGCCGTGAAAAGGACTATGATCACGTGCCTTGGTGTCATGAAAGAGGTCAAGGCCTTCAAGGTTGACCTGCGGAAGAAGGGCATCCCCCCGAAGGCGGGCTCCGCCAAGGATAAAGAGGACGACGGGGATGACGCCGAGGGCGACGAGGACGAGTGAGCCGCCAGTTTGCTTCTGATAACACATGGCCCAAGAAACGCACTGAGACCTCTCGAGGTCAGTCCGCGCATGGCTTCGGTCGGCCATCTTCCTGCACTCAGCGGCACCGCCTCAGTTTTGACTCCGTCTGGCATCGCCGTGCTAATGAGAGGCATTATGGCATTGTTTGGATCGACCCTGCACGCCTGCTCTATCCCGCGAGATGCAATGAAAGCAATACGTGCGCTTGATCCTGTATGTTCCCTACCTAGGCTCTGCCTAGAAGGGTCCTTACTCTCGTAGCTTAAAGGGGCCGGGCAGTGGCAATCGCCCCGGGCGGTTCCCCCAGTCCCCGCCCCGCGGTTCCCCCCAGTCCCCTGGGAGCTTTAACTTTAGCTTTAGCTTTAGCTTTAGCTTTGCTTTAGCTTTAGCTTAGCTTTAGCTTAGCTTTAGCTTAGCTTTTTAGCTTAGCGTTTCGCTTAGCGTTTCAAATAGCTCTTCGCTTAGCGTTTAGCTTAGCTTTAGCTTAGCTTTAGCTTAGCTTTAGCTGAGCTTGAGCTTAGCTGTAGCTTAGCTTAGCTTAGCTTTAGCTTAGCTTTAGCTTAGCTTTAGCTTAGCTTTAGCTTAGCTGTTGCTCAGCTTTAGCTTAGCTGCTGCTCAGCTTTAGCTTAGCTTTAGCTTAGCTTTAGCTTAGCTTTAGCTTAGCTTTAGCTTAGCTGTGGCTTAGCTTTAGCTTAGCTGTGGTTTAGCTTTAGCTTAGCGTTACTGTAACTACTAATGCTGTTTTCCTAGGGGTTCCAACTCCTAGGTAGGGTCGCACTGGGATAATTAGTTTTTGCCCAGAACCACCAATCCCACGAAATGGGATAAACGATTTGTCAGGGATCAGGTGGCAGCCACGCTCAGGATTTCCAGTGGTTCATTCGGCGTCGGTCGCTGTGCTTACATGTTGCAGGCGGAAACAGGGGCCGCAAAGATTTGCGTTCCCAGAGGCCCTTCCCGGATCATTATTTCGGACGTCCACCTAATTTCCTCCGAGGGCCTCATGCTGGCGCGTCATCCAGAATGAGTCGAGGCGAAAAACCCGCCGTGAGGATCCTTAGGGCGGGGTTTGCACAGAGTTCATTTCTCCTGTGGCGGTGGGGGTACCCGCCTCGAAACGGCAGCATGCCACGTAACATGCGCATGACCTGCTAGAGGTGCCCCCCCCATTCCCTGCCGTACCCATTTAGGCTCGAATGATTGCCGACTGCATAGAACTGCGCGTGCCAGTATACAGCTCCCACGATCCAGCATGGCAGAACGCGGAGGACATAAGCAGAGGAGGCTACATGGCAAAAGGTCCGTCCATGCTGAAGCTGATGATGTCCGTGGGCATTCGCCGATGTGGACGCTCTTGATGAAGAGATTCGCTCGGGGTCACATGTCTGCTTCGCAAGTCCAGGAGATCGCGAAGGCTGCCATGGACAGCGGCGCCGACAGGTCGGATGTGAGGGCGCTTGCGAGGCTCGGCGCTTACGGCAATCAGAGCGGCAACTGCCACCGAGACTTGACGAGGGCCTACTTCTCAGATCTAGCTGCCCCGCAGCCGATGGATGTGCTGACGAATTTACGGGTGAGAGGCGACGATGGGCAATTTGCAGAGCAGGAGGTTAACGTAAGTATTTTGTGCCCCCATGATTGGGCGCAGTGCCTAGGCGCCCACGACAGGCTCGATGAGGTCGCGGGCAGCGCAGCTGACGCGAGCGAGTTCTGGGCGGTCCAGGATTTCAGCAATAATCCTCAGTATAAGCACAGCCCATACTTTCAAACGCTCGCTCGTGAAGCCACGGCGGCTCGGCGAGCCAAGAGACCAGGGGGTTGGCAGCCGATGCCCTTGCTTTTGCATGGCGATAGCGCGCCGATGACAGAGCACGACAGCGTGACCATGATTTCAATGAGAGGCATTCTGAGCAAATTGCCAGTGCACCAGAGCCAGTTGGCGCTGGTGGCTTTGCCGAAAACTTGCCAGGCAGGTCGAGGCACATGGGGCCCAATATGGCGCGTGCTTGCCTGGTCTTTTGCAGCTCTAGCCGACGGCGAACACCCGAGAAAACAACCAAATGGGGATGCTTGGCCCGCCGGCCACCCACGGCGCCTCCTCGCTGGCAAGAAACTTCCGAAGGCGGTAATTACTGTGATAGCGGGTGACATCGAATGGTTCTGCCAGGAATTTGGTTTCCCCTATGCCATGTCCAACTACCCCTGCGCATATTGCACGAGCGACAATTGCACGCCTCCTGGGCCAAACCCATTCACAGATTTCAGGCGGGATGCGAAATGGAAAGCAACCATGTTATCGCACAGAGACTTGCGCGCCAAGTTCAAACACATACTTTTCGACAGGGTGCCGGGGGTCAGTTTCTACACGTTGAAGCTTGACTGTCTCCACGTACTGGATTTGGGAGTGGCATGCCATCTATACGGGAACCTGATGTGGGAGATCTTGGAGGACGAGCTTCCTGGCAACAGGGAGGCGTCTACGGCTACATTAAACAAGGCGATCACACACGCATACAACGAGCTATCCGTTCCAGCCGCGCAGAGAATACCCAAGCTCGATGCCACCGACATCGCCAAATCAAACGAGGTGTTCCCATTGCTGAAGCACGTGAAAGGACGGAAGGTGCGGCATTTCGCACCTGTTGCCTTGATGCTTGCTGAAAAGTACAGGACGGAAGATGTCCACAGTCAGCACCGATACGAATGCGTGAAAGCCCTCCGTGACGTTTACGATATGTGTGACAGGCAGGAACACGTATGGCCCGACGATGTACATAATGATTTTGCTCGAGCCGTGGAGGCCCTTCTTGGCCATTACGGTTGGTTGGCCAAGAATGCTTTGAATCGAGGCGTGAAGAGATACAGCATTGTGCAGAAGCACCATTTGGCAGCGCATCTGCCAGACCAGTCGCAGTGGCTCGCACCGCGATGCTGCTGGACGTATGGTTCTGAATCGTTTATGGGCCTATGCAAGAAGATATGTGCATCATGTGTGAAAGGCACTCCAGCCGCTTCCGTGTCACCTAAGTTTATGGAGAAATCAGTCACGCTTCGCGAACCTCCACCAGCCCATCCTAAAAAAGCAGACACTCGAACGAAGAGGAGCGATCATCGGGAGCTGTCCTCCCCGCCTCCTCCTCCTCGTCCTCGCTCTTGGGTCCTGGTACGGTGCCCGATGCGGGTGTTCAATCGGGCACGCGCGCACTGTTCGCCAACAGTCTTGGGTCATGGCCGTCATGCTGGCTTTCGGGGTATTCAATCGAAGTTTCACGTGGGGGTGAGACTGTGGCGTTTTTATATATATATATATACATATTTTGTGTTTTTTCATTGCAAGCGAAGCCATAAACCAATGACGCCAGAGCGCCAAAGCAAGCTCCGCACAAACGGAACCAACACAGAATAAGCAAACAGCAAGGAGGGAGAAGGAAAAAAAGATGGCAATCTCGGGCGCAAACCTAAAATTGAGGATTGGCCGGTACGGCCAAAATGGGCGCCGCCCCGCAGGCGCCAACCTGGGCCGACAAATCGCGCCCCCCCCCCCCCCTCCTGCGCAAGTAAGCAGCCAGCGGACGCCACAAAGAGGAGGAGGAGGAGGACGAGAGAAGGGAATAGGATATTCCAAAACATCTGGCGCAGCGTTCGGACCAACCTGCGATAGGCGAGGCGTTTCTTATATATTTTGTGGTGCGCTGGGGACGCCCAGTAGAAGGCCAAACACATTGATTTGCTCTTGGTGGCCCGAGGATGTGGGCCTCGAGGACGTGGACCTCTCGGGAAGCTCTTGGGCCGTCTTGGGCTTCTCTTGTGCCAGTCGTGGAGCTCTCTCTTGAGCCCGGTTTGAAGCTTTCTTGGGCCGTCTCATGGACCCCTCTTGGAAGCCATCATGCAAAACAAAGGTAGGGTGGGGGCCATCGGAGGGGCCAATCGGTGTCCCTTCGTCGGGGCCACGATCCTTGTGATAGTGTTAGAAATCTGTCCGCCCATTGGTCGAACAGGGACGCTCTAACTACCCGCGCCCCCTGCCTTTCTACAGATCCAGGGGGGCGGGCCGAAGGGGAAGCAGGGGTAAACATAACTCTTTTGACCAATCACACCCGATGGGCTGGTCGGATTCTGCATGGCATTTCATCTGCTGCTGAACAATCACATCGCGTTTGGCGATGATTAATGATGTTGTTGTCGCTTGTCACAATACTGATCTCCTCGTAACATGGAGGGAGGGGCCATTGCACAGAAATGCTGCCATTTCTATATTATTGTCGCCCACGGCTTCCGCGGTCTTCATGTCAATTGAAATTGACGTTTTGCGTATGGGTGTTACCTTGGCCTGCCCTCACGATCTCCTTCCTATATTCTCCCTCACCCGCCTCCTTCGCGTTCAGTTCAACGTGGTCATATGTGTAGATCTGCCCGCCCCTCCCCCTTTCCCCTTCGAGCCTCCGCTCCTGTGTCCCATCGCGCTCCTCGACCCTCGCCATCGCCCTTCTCCCCCCGCGTCCCTCCTCCTCCTCCTCCTCCTCCTCCTCCTCCTCCTCCTCCTCCTCCTCCTCCTCCTCCTCCTCATTCGTCGCCATCAACCCTTCTCCTCGTTCTCCTCCTCCTCCTCCTCCTCCTCGTATTCGCCCTCCTTCTCCTCCTCCTCCTTCGGATTTTCGGCTTCTGCCAAAACTGTTGCCCCTCTCTTTCGCCTCCCCCTTCTTCGCCCGTCCTTTCATCTCGCGCACTCTGTTTCAGTTATCGTTTCCGCTCCTCCTTTCGCCCACGTCAATCCCCCCTCCTTGCGCGTTCAGCGCTTGACGCACGTGGCGCGCTTGGTGCAATCAGCGCACGCAGGCGGCAACCCTGCAATGCTGTCGGAGACGATGGTACCTTACGTTGTCTAGGAGAGGCTTTACGGCCTGTGCATCCTACCCTGAACGACGACGACGACGATCGTTCTCGGGAGCGTCTTGGAAGTAGTTTTGGGGCCTTTGGGAGACTGTTGGGGCCGCTTTGGCGCCTCGTGGGAGCCTCTTTGGGCTTAATGGGGGGGTCTCCTGAGGGCTTCTTCTGTGAGTAATTTAAGGACCTGTTGGTGCCTCCTGGGAGCCTCCCAGGCCGAGAGCTCGCAATGTTTGTTCGGAATCCTCGTTTGGGCTCCCTTTGGAGCAGTCTTTGGATGGCAGCCTGTGCTTATACGTTTTCTGCGTAGTCCGGTATTTGATGTGCCAGAAGTGTTTTCTCGCACAGCCTGTCTGGATCACTTCAGGCATGCACATTTCAGAATATTCCGGCTGATCTCGGACCAGAGGGGCTTCCAACCGTTCTCGGTTGATTTAGTTGTGACTTGATGGCAGTGCAACAAAACATATTATGTATCAGTAGAGCGTGGTCGCGAGGAATGTTTCGAACAGTACAGGCCCTCTTGGAGCCGCGCTGGGGGTTTCATGGGCTGTCTTGGAAGCCTTGTGAGCGGTCTTGGGGCCCTCTTGGGTAGTTTTGGAGCCATCGTGGTGGCGTCTTGGGCCATTGTGAAAAATCTTGGGGGCTGTCGAAGACGATGGTACCTGATCTTCTTGCATGCTGTTCACCGCGCTCCTTCGTAAGGGTAAAGGGGCAGACTAGCTTGCACAGCCCATCCGCGAGCGCAATTTGCATGCGAACGCCAGGCGCAATCAGCTAAATACAAACGAATCGCTTGAAACGCGCGTTGTAAACATGCACGCCGCGTACATATTACACCCCCCACGCGCGCGACGATGGCGATGCCGAAAAATTGGCGACAACTTTAATTATAATAATGGTGTCGGCGACGGCAGTGATTTGCGACGGGGAAAAATCATAGGCCCGCAAGTTGCGCGTACTGGTGAATGGTTCAAATGCTGGCCGAGTGCCGCTACAACTGCCTAACACCAGGTGTTCCTAATTCTGCGTGCCAGAAAATGACTGTTCCTAATTCTCGAATAAGAAACAATAGTTTTGATTGTCACCGACGCACCACATATTGTCACATAGGTCGCCATCACCATCGTCACCCCGCTATTGCCGCGCAATCGCAGTCACCGCCAACATCGCCGTCATTGCATATGAAAGATCAAGCGCTTTAGCAAGGTGGGCCAAGGGCGGGTCGCGGGGCGGGCCCCGAGCACACCGCCGCGGGGGCATGGCGCGACAACGGAAGCAACGAAAACGGCAACGACATGAAATAGAAAACATGCGCAGCGGAAGCCTAGGTCAGCTACGCGCTGAAGGGAGATGCGAGACTACACGGGCCCCGCGCTTTGCTAATTTGGAAACGCGGGATGTCAAGGGGCACGGAGCGGGGCAGGACATGCGCAGAGATTGCGGTAGTGCGCCCTATCGTCCAAGCCCGCGCTCTTCAGCGACGATCGCGGCGCTTCCCCCATCGAGACGCGCGCCCTATGTTCGAAACCCTCTGCTCGAAACCTTCGCCCGAAATCTTGCGCTAAGATGCCCTGGGCATCCCGCTCGCGAGGCCGCGCGCCACTGCGCGTCGGCAACAGGCATTGCGCCAGAAGCTTGCCTTACCCTCAGAACCTTCGGGCCAGGCCTCGTTCGAGAAACTGTGACACTCCATGCGTGCGGCGCGACGTTGCGGCAAGGGTGGCAAAGAGTAGGCATGGCGCGCGTTTGGGTTGGCCAATTAGCCCGTGCGGAGGCAAGCCAATCCCTTTCATCCGCGGCAGAACGTAGCCACGAGCACAGACCGCTCGCCCAATTTCTCTTGATTTGCAATATACTGTTCTATTGATTTCGACACCATATTTCTATTGAATTTACGTTTGCGGGACATATTGGTTTTGCAACTGTATCTACTGAATTCTGCTGGCGCTCCAGACGACGAGCGTTCGGCGCCGCTATCACGGACGCCCGGTAATTCTCTTGATTTTGGTTTTGTTTTCAATCGATCTTGATTTTTTCAATCGCTCTTGATTTTTTTCAATCGCGGATGCTTTGGGAAATCGAGATCCGGGTCGGCGCCGAAAAAAAACAATTCCAATACACATTTTTTTTTGAAAATGCTTAATTTTTGCTTCCGGCGCCTGGGAGGCCTCCCGGGCCGAGATTCCGACGCCCAGGCCGGCGCCCGAGCCGGCGCCCGGGCCGGACGCCCGAGCCCGCGCCCGGGCCAGCGCCCGGGCCGGGTCCGGAGCCGGTTCTGGCCGGCGCCGGAAAATCGAGTTCCGAGGCGGCGCCGAAAAAAGGCCATTCCAATACATGTTCTTTTCTTTTGAAAATGCTGAATTCCTGCTTCTGGCGCCCGGGAAGCCTCCCGGGCCGATTCCGGCGCGCTTCCGCTCGTTCCGAATCGTGCTCCCGTTGCAGCGCTGGCCTCATTTCCGCGCTTCCGCTCGTTTCGACTCGTGCTCCCGCTGCAGCGCTGGCGTCATTGCCCGTGCCATGCCACGGTCTGCAATGCAATGCTAGGTTGATGCTACGCTTTGCGGTGCTCTTCTACGCCATGCCACGCCGTTGTATACAATGCATCACGTACCCTTTCGGGATCATTGCCTTGCTCGACATCCGACTGTGCGAGTAGAGAGGGGATCTGCGCCATGGTAAGGGATGGGAGGGAAGGGTAGGATGTCAGATATGATGCGAGCGAGCGTACCTAGCTTG